AGATAGTAGACAAGAATTATCTTAGGTGAAGGGAAGGACAGCACACACTACAGGGGAAGTCAGCACAACTGGACTAAACCAAAGCTAAGAAGTTTTCTGAATATAGTCAAACACTTTGAGGGACAGAGTAGCAGGGGTGGGGGTCTGGGGACCATGTTTTCAGGGGACATCTAGGTCAGCTGGCATAACAAAGCTTATTAAGAAAATGTTCAGCAGCCTACTTTGGTAAGTGTCATCTGGGGTCTTAAAAGCTTGCAAGCGGCCATCTAAGATGCATCAATAGGTCCCAACCACCTGGAGTAAAGGAGAATGAAGAACATCAAAGACACAAGGAAAGTATTAGCCCAAGAGACAGAAAGGGCCACATAAACCAGACACTTCATCAGCCTGACATCAGAAGAACTAGATTGTGCTTGGCTACCACCAATGACTGCCCTGCCAGGAAACAGACAGTCCCTGAAGGAGCAGGAGAAAAGTGGGGTGCACAACTCAAATTCTAGTGAAAGAAGACCAGACTTAACGTTCTGAGACTGGAGGAACCCCAGAAAGCATGGCCCCGGACTCCCTGTCAACCCAGAACTAAAAAAATTCCCGAGGCCAACTCTTCAGACAAAGACTGGACTGGACTATGGGACATAAAATGGTACTCGTGAAGAGTGTGCTTCTTAGCTCAAGTAGATTTATGAGACTAAATGGGCAGTTTCTGTGCGGAAGTGAGATGAGAAGGCAGAGAGGGTCAAATGCTGGTTGAATGGACACAGAAAATCAAAGGTGAAAAGAAGGAGTGTGCTGTCACAGTACAGGGAGAGCAATTAGGGTCACACAACAATGTATGTATAAATTTTTGTATGAGAGACTAACTTGAATTGTAAACTTTCACTTAAACTACAACAATTAAAAAAAAAAGACTGAAGGAAAAAAATAATTTAAAAAAATGGCAAGCAGGTCTTCAGTTGCAGCTTCAGGCTGGTGGCTAAATGGTATTCGAAAATGGTATTACAGTGCTGCAGGGTTCAATAAACTTGGTTTAATGCAAGATGATACAATATACGAGGATGAAGATGTGAAAGAAGCCATAAGAAGGCTTCCTGAGAACCTTTATAATGACAGGATGTTTTGCATTAAGACAGCACTGGACCTGACTGTGAGGCACAGATCTTGCCTAAAAAGCAGTGGATAAAATACAAGGAGGATAAATTCTACCTTGAACCGTATCTGGAAGAAGTTACTTGGGGAAAAAAAGAGAAGAATGGGCAAAGAAATAACAGTGTAATTAAAATCTGTGGATGCAGCTGTCCTCAAAGTATTTTTATGAAGTTGGTTAAACCTGAAATGTATAATTTAAGAACTATTTGGGCTTCAATTGTATTACTTTAAATAATATCTATTGTAATCTTTAAAAAAAAAAAAAAGCATATTCCTGGGCTCCATCCCTGTCCTAGTCCATCGTCCTTCTGCACACACTCCAAGATTCTGATACAGTAGGCCTGGGATGTGGTCCAGAATCTGTATATTGAAAATGATACCCCAGGTGGTTTTGCTGAGCAGCCAAATTTGGGAACCACCTCCTGCACTGTGCTGCTATCTAAAAAATTCCCAGAATACTGACCACAAAATCGAGGGCTACTTTCCCCAGTTCTAAAGGGGAGGATTGTATCCCCAAACCTACCAATCCTGATGCATATATGTTGTTGGTGTGTCATCGAGTGGATTCCAACTCGTAGCATCCTCATATGACAGAGTAGAACTGCCCTATAGATTTCGTAGACAGTAATCCTTATGGGAGCAGATCTCCCAGTCTTTTCTCCAGAGGAGTAGCTGGTGGGTTTGAACTTCTGACCTTTTAGTTAGGAGCCGAGTGCTTAACCATTGCACCACCCTGGCTCCTTGATGCATCTACCGGAGCCACAAACTCAAACGCTTGCAGGACCAGGAACATAACATAAATGCATGGAGGAAGCAGATGAGGACTGTAGCAAACACAACCCATCTAAAAGGGACAGCTTCCTGCGTCCAGCCGAGTGTGAACACAGGTCCAGAACACAGGTCCACCACTGCCACAACTTCCAAGTTTTCAGAAGCCAGAAATCCAGACTTTATATAAAATTTCCTGCGAGGGCTAAACCAAACACAGCCTGTGACTGAGAGGCCCTGCAATCTCTGGTTCTGTGGAGTGGCATGGACAAAGTTGTCACTTCAATCAAATTTTACTTTAGTCAATTTCCTCCTTATCTACTAATTTACTGCTGTTGCTGGGTGCTGTCGATTGTTGACTCAGAGCGACCCCATGTGACAGAGCAGAACTGTCCCATAGGGTTTTCTAGGCTGTAATCTTTACAGGAGCAGATCAGCAGGTCTTTTTCCCACAGGCCCCTGGGTATGAACTATCAATCTTTTGGTTAGCAGCCGAGCACTTAACTGTTTTACCCGTTGCACCACCACGGCTCCTACTAATTTACCATTATGACAGAAATGACTTACATCTTGGCAGAAAACTTGCAGACATGCCAGCTCATGCCCAGATGCACCTTGGTACATTTTAATTTCTTATAATGCCTACTTGCCTTTTTTTGGGGCGAAGCAGGTGTATGACTTGGTTATTTCTGGTTCATAATCCATGACTGCCTTAAGTATGCTTCTTAGCTTTAAGATCCCTCATGTCCTATTAACCTTATCCTATTGCTCTATTTGCAGTCATTATTTCTCATATCAGGGGTGTGGGGAGAACGGATGTTGCCTCCACACAGGGCTCCAGCCATTGTAGGCATCCTTGATTAGAGAAAATCATTCTCTCCCCATATGCACGGGAAGGAAAAGAGTGACAGCAAAAGAATAGTGGGTAGGGTAGTGAGTGAAGAGAGACAAATGTAGGCAAAGTGGGAGTCTGTCCTTATCAATGAGAGAAAGAAGCAAGAAATACTGGTTCAGGTGAAACAGCTCCTTGAAAGAGTGCTGTTCTCCCAAAGGAAATTCTGTAGGAAGCCCAGAACTTAAACGTGTGGTTTCTAGTGCCATCTGCTGGGAAGCACAGGAACCAGCTCGGAGTAGGAAAAAACAGCGAGTCCTACTTTCAATCACTTGAACCAAACCCATCGCTGTCGAGTTGATTCCGACTCACAGCAACCCTAAAGGACAGAGCAGAAGTGCCCCATAAGGTTTCCAAAGAGCAGCTGGTAGATTCAAACTGCCAACCTTTTGGTTAGTAGCCGTAGCTCTTGACCACTGTGCCACCAGGGCTCCTCAATCACTTGAAGGGGGCAGTTTTTATGGAGGCTGGACCCTTTCCTGCCTGTTGCAATGGCATCTAAGGAGTCTCAGTAAACACCTGACCATCCTCTGTGCTGCCCCTCACTTTACACAAACTGGAATGTATCAGTTTGCTCTACTGTCTCTCCAGCTAGTAGGTGAGCTCCGCAACATGAGCTGTTCTCTCCTCATCAGAGCCTTGGCACAATCTGTGTCTGGCACCAAACAGCCTCTCAAAAAAAAAAAAAAAAAAAAGATGCCTATTGAATATATGAAATACTCAAGTTAATAATCCTACTTATTGACCACTATCTGTTGACATTCTAGGAACCAAACGGCAAGACAAGCCCCAAGCGGGAAACTGGGTTGCATAAGGTTTACTCTTCCAGAGTCTGACCTGCATTAAGTAGCCATCAGGATGCACACTCAGGGCCCAGCTAGAGCGGGGAGTGGGGCTGCTGTGCTCTAGAGAGGAAGTCAGCTTATGCGGGAAGTCAACCTCCTCACACCACTGTCACCCACCCAAAGGGCAAAGATCTAGGTGTGGGTGAGCATGTAGTTGGGAGGGGAGAATATTCTAATTATCAAGTCCCTGCAGCTGTCTGCATCTCAGGGCAACCGGTGGTCACTGAGAGTAACAACTCCTTCCTCCCTCCCTCATGACAGTCACTCACAGACCCTCCCCCGATAAGTGGTCCTCAACTTGGCTGTGCAGCTACACTACTTGGAAAGTGTCTAAAAATTCAGATGCAAAATCTGCTCCCCAGACAAATTAAAAATCAGAATCTCGTGGGGTGGGGTGGGGCCCAGGCCTAAGTATTTTTTAAAGTTTCCCAGGTGTATTACTTTCCTATTGCTGTTGCAACAAATTAAAACAAACTTACTGGCTTAAAAACAAGACAAATTTATTATCTCACAATTCTGTGGTTCAGAAGTCTGAAATGGGTTTCACTAGGCTAAAATTAAGGGCCAGCAGACCACTGCACCTGATAAGCTACAGCTTGCTCCTCATTTCATGCTCACGCACAGCCCGAGTGTACGCCAGATTCTCAAGCACTCCGTAGGCTATCTCCTGGTAGTGGAAGATGCAGACTCCAGGCTCACAGGCTGAATGTGACCTGAAAATGTGTTTTATTGGCCAATACTTTAACATCAAGATATTTCTGTCTCTCCATTACTTACACACCCACAAGTGTGCATGTCTGGCTTTTCTTAAGTATCTAGCTACACTGGGACAGCATTCCAGCAGGGCAACCCTCAGTTGGAAGAGAAAAGCTGTTGCCTTTAGGTGGGGCATTTACTCTCCAGATTGCCGCAAGTCTCATCCTACCCTTTTTGTCTTATACCTGGTTCACTTCACACATTTATGTTACTTGCCTGGCTTGGTAACCCCTTGAGTTTACAACCCTCCCCTTCTTCAAAGTCCTCATACCTAAAGTTAGGTGAAATTCTGGTAAAGACCCATTTGCCTGTCATTAACTGAAAAGTGAATAACTCTGCAGCGGCACTAATGGCTCTGCCCAGACAAACAAAACCCTTTCCTCACAACCCAGGGAGTGTCCCAGCAGAGTTAGACCACGGTTTGCATTAGCAGCCTACAGCCACCAACTATTCTGATGAGCAAATTCTCTGAAGCATGGAGAGGACACCTGGCCTCAGTGATCACACAATCTTCACAGTCTTGAGCATATCTGAGAGGACATATGTGTCATCCCAACCCCTCCCAAGCCTCCTCAGAGTCTGCTCCAAGGCCTGGGCTGTTTCCAGGAGCTCCGGTGTGGCAAGCTTCGGCTCTGGGTGCAGCTGGCAGAACAGGATCTCGTTGACTTCACCCTCAATTTGCCGGACGTACAGCAGGGGGAATACTAACTTGAGCCCAGCTAGCACTGAGTCCTTCAGCTCCAAGTCTCGGCACACGAGGTTGAGGATAAAGACACCTGATGGGTGGGAAGGAAAGAGTCAGAATGCCTGCAGACCAGGGGGCACAGGAGAGGCAAGGTTCAGCTCTGAGGAAAATATCCAGTCCTGCCCCAGGGAGGTTGGCGGACTAAGAAAACACCCTGACAGAGGCAGTGGGTTTGCAGGACATGCAGCACACAAAGGTCGAAAGGGAAAGGCATGGGGAATATGTTAAGAAACTTCCTTGCTCTTCTGTGCTAACATCAGTTATTTTACCATTCTGCATGCCTCAGTTTCCGAAAGAATTGCTTTGAGAAAGAATACCACAAGAAAGAACTTACCAGCTCCACAGGGATTATACATTCTTGACACACACATCATAGAGTATCAATAAACAAGAGGACCAAGGTGACCTTACACCAAATTACAACACCGGGGAGGCCATGAACAGCAGAGTTAAGAGCGCCAACTTTCACGGGACACGGAGCTGGGTTGGAGCCTCAGCTGTGAAATGTTACTTTGGCAAGTCTCAACCTCAGCTTCCCCACCTGAAAGTGTATCTATTACAAAGTTGAAATAACATCCTGCCTAGTGCAGCGCATGTGGGAAGCATTCAAGTGGTAGCTAGCACTGCCATGCTGGTGGGACTGTAAATTGCTTTAACCACTTTAGAAAACTGTGCGGCAGCATCTATGAAAGCTGAATCCATGACCCAGCAATTACAATCCTAGGTATACAGCCAACAGACCGGCGAACATATTTCACCAAAAGGCATGGAACAGCATGTTAATGGGAGTACTATTCGTAATACTCCAATACAGGAAATAACCCAGATACCAACAGTAAAATGGATGAGATGTGCTATAATCAAAAAAAAAATCATTGTATTAAATGGTTGAGAAAGAACTGATGATGAACTGGATCTGCACTTTCCTACAGTATTGCATACATGTGGTCTGATGATACCACACAGCAATAGAATGAACAATGTAAAACAACGCTATGGATAAGTACCACAAACATAAAGTTGAGGGAAAGAAACCAGACACTTAAAGAGTGCATTCTGTGTGATTCCATTTACATAAAGAACAAAAACAGGCAAAACAAACTATGCTGACAGAAGTTAGGATAGTGGTTACCCTTTGGAGGAGAGGGATGTTATGCAAGGGGATAAGAGGTGGGCTTCTGGGATGCTGGAAATGTTCTGTGTTTGACGCTGGTAAATAGGTACATTCAATTTGGGGAAACTCATTTTCTGTACAAAAATGCTATGTGCATTTTCCATTAAAAAGATAAATTTTTAAAAGAATCCTTCCCTCCTCCCTCCCCAACCTTTTATTCTCCATACCTTCAGAAGTCAAGATGCTTTTGACATTTTGCAGGAAAGCTTGGTCCACAAACGCTGGGGGCGGGCAGCTCATTCCCAGTGTTGGGTCCTTACTGTCCACATCAAACATTATGACGTCATAGTGAAGCCGTGCTGGGAAAGAGAAGCGAACAAGTCCTTGTCTTTGCTAGATAAAATAACACTGTTCATATTCTACAGCACATCTCCTCCGTGACCTGTGGTAGGCACTGGCAGCTAACTCAGAAGGGGGACATGGAGGATGTGGTTTGCCTGTAAGGGCACCGACATCACAGGTGTGCACACCTCCCAGTAAGATGGACTTTCACCTCATCTTCTACCTCTACATATAAAAGCACCTTCCAAAGGCACATGCGTTACTGGGATCTAGTCTCATGTGAACACTGCTTAGTTCAGCGTCCATCCACACCAGTGGTTTCCATACCTGGCAGAACTTAGACTCACCTTGGAAGCATCTAAACATTCACAGAACTCGGGCCCTGCTTCTGACTACCTAAGCAGAAATCCCAATTTATGGGGGCAGAGGGAGGAGAGAGGGGAGCCTCGGGCATTTTCTTAAGCTCTCCAAACCAGAAAAAAAAAACAAACCCACTGCCGTCAAGTCGATTCCGACTTCAGCTCTCCAGGTAACTCTAAATACAGTCAGGGCTGAGAACCACCAATGTCCACAAAGCAGCCACTGATGCCTTTGAGGGCTGACCGAGTAAACTGTAACTGAACCTTAATGATATCTGCGGAAACTGAGCATATGTTGCCCCTTAGGAGAAAACGTTCTGAAATTTGAGTTAGTATATCTTTTCTAGTTATTCAAACAATAGCTTGTTCAAGAAAGAAATTATTTTGTCAGGTGGGTGAAAAAGAACTGATGATGAACTGGATCTGCTCTTTGCTATAATGTTACACATTTTAACAGGGGGTAGGGCTGGTATGCCACTGATTTAACGAATGATGAGACTATGCTCAGGATTATTCTTTGATTAGTAACCATTTACTTAGGACTACTACATGCCCAGCACTGTTCATAAGCACAGATCTGAGTTTGGTCTTTTAGAGAGAAGAACATGTTGGCTCATCAAAGTCCAAAAAAAAGAAACAATGGCCCACATTTGCAGCCTTCAGCACTCCAAAAATCTGGAAGGTTGTGACGGTCAGAAAAGACGGGCTGTTCAAAACCCATCTACAGGTAAGAACGATGCCAGCAGCCATCATGGATTGAGTACTTCCTATGTGCCTGGTGCTGTGTTATAGGCTTCATGTGCATTTGTTATCTTGAGCCTGGGCCCCCAAACTGGCCCTCGTCTCAGAAAGGGAACCTGTGAAACTCTGATATGGTTAAGGTTCAGTTTATAGTTAAAATCAAGGCAGTGTCTGTCCATCCCAGCAACATATCCTAAGCCCAGGCAACTTGGTTTGCCAGACCTGTACTGGAAGCTATTCTAATCTGGAGATCTGCTACGAAATGGGCAGATCAGGAAAGGGTGCCCTGAGCTCCCCAGAGGGCCTCAACCAGCTAAGTGACCTCTCCTCGGGCACTCGAGCTTGGGAAAGCATCCAGGTCACCAGGAGGCTACATATAAAGTTACAAAACCATCAGGAAAGCTACTGTCTCTAGTATTGCAGAAAATCAATATGCCTTTTGTCCTAACTCTGGGACCAATTATTGGAGAAGAACGGAACCTTCACTCCAGCAGCAGCTTGCTGTTGTTAGATGCCGTTGAGTCGATTCTGACTCAGAGCGAACCCGTGGGGCAGAGCGGGAACTTCTCCACGGGATTTCCTAGGCCATCATCTTTACAGAAGCAGATCACCAGGTCTTTCTCCCACAGAGCTGCTGGATGGGTTAGAACTGCCAACCTTTCAGTTAGAAGCCTAGCCCTTAACCATCATGCCACCTGGGCTCCTTTCAGTAGCAAGAGGACTATCAAAATTCCCACTGAGTGGCATCTGAATCAGGGTCTCTCAACTCTGGCACTGCTGACATCTGGGACTGGACGATTCTTTGTCATGGGAAGCCATCCTGTGCGTTGTTGGACGTTTAGCAGCATTCCTGGCTTCTACCCACGAGATGCCAGTAGCAGTCCTTTCCCTAGGTTGTGACAAGCCAAAAAACGTCTCCGGTCATTGCCAAGTGACTCCTGGGAGGCAATACTCACCCAGCTGAGAAGCACTAATCTACATGAATGCCATTTTGCTCTTTTACTGGCCACCACCCCCAGCTGGAGGATTTGCAAGAAACACCTCCAAACACATCCCCTACCTTTTCTTCCTCTTTTCCTCTGCCAGCTACAGACTTTAGGTTTCTTGGGATGGTGAGGAAGTGCACGGTTATAGGGTTAGAAGAGAAGCCCATTGTTCTGTTAGCACCATTAAGGGGAGGAAGAGTTGTTTCACTTATTGCTATAGCTCAACACCTAGTGCATGCTTAGCATATGGCTGACACTGTATATGTATTCAATAAACATACCAACAGATGAACAGGTGAATGACTGGGATGGCACTGATGCCACCCTGTTAGAGATGAATTCTAGAGGCCCTTGCAGGCCTGACAAGCTTGGATCCACCTTCCTTAGGCACCCTCCAAATTTCCCAATAGTAGTTAGTACCTTCTCCTCCTTGCGCCAAGCTGGTGACATAGTCCAGGCCATCTGCAATGTGGACCTGCATCCGCTCACTCTGGGAGAAGCCGAACCACTGGGTGGCCACTTCCAACATGGAGGGGTCGATCTCCACAGCATCAATGCAGGACTTCGGGAAATGATCGTGGACAAAGAGGGGGAGGCTGCCCCCGCCCAGGCCTACCACCAACAATGCCAGTGGGGTCTCTGTGATAAAAGAATACAGCATCACTTTGCCATCTGGGAAGCTCTGTACCAGTCTCAGGGAGAGCAGCAGAAGGAACCAGACAGTTGGTTCTGCCCAGGGAATACAAAATTTAGAGAACTGGCTTCCTTGTCTCATTCCAGGAATTTAGGAGTCAATTTGACATGTGAAAACTCAACCCTGGCTTCACAACGACCAAGTCTGCAAGATGAACTAGTGCGTTATTATTATGGTCCCTTAAAGATCCCAAAGCACTCATCTGACATCTAATCAAGAGTCCCCACAAGGGTTATTATTCTCGTCTAGGAAATAGAGGGACAATGACTATGAAATTTTGTTCACAATCACAAGGCAATGTAGGTACAATGTCCACTGCCCAGCTCTTGATTCAAAGGCCACAACCATGCTCTCAGACACCCAACTACACAAGGGCAATCCATCCAAGTTCCATAACAGAGAAACAAAGGTCCAAGTCCCATCCCTAACACATAGAGACCACAGCAACTTGTCTTAAAGACAAGAAACAAGAATCACCAAAAGGAGAAATACCTTGAGGATTAAATCTAAGAACCTAGACTCTAGGGTCATCAGCACAAAGACAGGTCAAAAGTAGAGGGTGCTTCAATGGGGCACACTCAAGGGTTCGAGTGGAGAGTTGCGTGTAGACAGAAACACGAACGTTTTTGCTTATGTGATCAGATCCAAATCTGTTATTAGTAATAAGCCTATGAGTGCACCAACTATAACAAGGATTTTTTTTTTTTTTTTTTAAGTAGCAATTCAAGCTAAAATTGCTTCTGATGCTCAACTAATGCATTACTGAAGTCAGAAATTTTCTTAAAGTGCAAAGGCATTGGAGACAAGATTTTAAAATGTACCATCTAGTTACACAGGCATACAGATGCAAAAATTCATTAAGGTGTAATTAGTAAAGAATGTCTGCTTCAGCACTGTGCTCTTTTAAAGAACTATCTATATGGAATCAAACCGACAACAGCAACTCAAAAGGTTAGATAGGAAGCTTGGGGAGCAGTGAGTTTATGTAAATGGGGGAGGAACAATTCAGAAAAGGAGGGTAAGAATGGTTGCACAACTTGAAGAATATAATCAATGTCACTGAATTATACATGTAGGAATTGCTGAATTGATGTATGTTTTGCGGTGCATATTTCAACAATAAAAAAAATTCAGCTAGCTTAATTTAAGATTTGTGTATTTTACATATCTCAATGAATGTATTTTATATCTCAGCTTTAAAAAGAAATGAAGAGGAGAAAAAGACTGAGATATTTAGATACCAACACATGTAGCCATTTGAAGGTTACAAGTTGAGCTTGAAGCAAAAGTTACTTGGCAGTTCATTAACTGGGACGATGGTTGGTATGAAGAAAATGTGTGCATTTGCCAGTCCCCAGTCACTGTTCTCAAAATGCAAAGCAGCTGACATTAACTGTTTACATCTGTAATCTTACAGGCTCCCCACTGTGGAAAGCGGTGGTGTTTCCCTCACCTAGGAGCAGCTTGGAGTTTCTCAGCAGGGCAAGGCCGGCAATCATGGCTTTGTGGTGTTCACAGCACAGGTAACTCTTATCAATAGACTGCGACGGGGCTGCAGGGACGGCATCCGGAGTTTCAGCAGGCCACTGCTTCTTCCTATCCTTTTTGTGTTTCTTCTGGGCTAAGTGAGAGAGAAAGACGAGTGAAGTCCTATGCTTTGTACGCTAGTGCAGGAAAGCAAAGGACGCCAGTAGCAGTGTGCTGGAGCTGGCTTGAACAGATTGAAAAGAGCCAACTGTTAAATATGCAGAAATTTTGCAAGCCAGCCGACATCATGTTGGTAGGCTGAAATCAGCCACAGTGGGAGTATTTATACCATGGAAATCGGCAAACACTACAAATCCAGAGAGACTTGTAAATATTTAACAGTATAGCACTGGATATTAGGGAATTAGAAAAGGCAAGGCGGCAAAGACACCCCCAAGAACCTGGGAAAGCTCAGCTAAGAAGCCCCAGCAACTCCCCTTTTAGTAATTTACTAATTACCTTCTCTGTGCCAATTACTGTTGTAGGACTTTTATTCTTTTAGCCCCTGTGACTACTCTATAACAACCCTATTACTCCAATTCTCAGCAGATGGAAAAATAGAGGATCCGAAGAGTTAATAAGCTCAGTAGGTAGTGCAGCCAGGATTTGAACCTAGGACTGCCTGCCTCCAAAACCTATCTTCTACCATGCGACACAGACAGTAATGCATACGTCCCTGCTGAGTAGGGAAATCACAGGTGTTCACAAAAGGGGAGAAAGTCTCTGTAAGAGGGCCCGCTACTTCCCTCTGCTTACTCCCTCAATTGCTCTAAGCTCTCATACTGAACAGATATTCTGTGTTTTCAGAGACCAGCTTCATCCCACAGCAGCATCAGGACTGAAGTGCACGACAGGGCACTTTTCAGAAAGGATAAATCACTTTTAACGTGCCTGCTTTCTTACTCACCAATACTCCCAAGAGGTAGACCATGCTCATGGGGAGAAAGTGATACTAAGAAAGCAAGAAACCCAGCAATGGTGGAAAAACCTGAAACCCAAACTGGAAGGCAAGATGTTCTTTTAAGCATTTTTACGGAGGTTTTAGTGAGATAAAACTGAACTGGCCCACAGCCAGAGTGACCACGTAACAGGGCAGGAGCTCAATAAACCCCTAAAGAAACCCATCCTGCTGAGGGGCAAATCCACGACTTGAGGGTTCTGAATTCTCTCTCCAGCGCCCTCCTAGGAGACCTTGCCAGAAGGACAGTCAGTCAGGTAAAGGGAGTGACTGGGAATCAGAAACCCGACTTCAGATTCTATCACTCAATCTCTGTGCCTCAAAGGGGAAGATTGCTGGGGAAGAGGAGAAGAGGAGCCTTCACTTTTTACTCTACAAATATGATTTTTTAATTGACTGCAACAAGCAAGTATTGATTCGATAATACAAAAATACCCACACAATGAAGAAAGGTAGAACAGACTGCTGCCAGTGGGAGTTCCTGAGCAGCATGTGGGAGGTTGCTTACAAGGTTCTACAGGAGATGGTCTAGGTCTACACTGTTCAGCGTGGCAGCCACTAGCCACGAGTGGCCATATAAATCACAATTAAATTTAAAAAATTCAGTTCCTCAGTCACACCAGCCACATCCCAAGCGCTCAGTAGCCAAATGTGGCTAGTGGTTACCATATCTGACAGTGCAGACAATGAACACTTCCTTTACTGCAGAAAGTTCTACTGAATAGAACTAAATGAACTCCGGGGTCCCTGGGTGGTGCAAATAGTTAACATGCTCAGCTGCTAATGGAAAGGTCAGAGGTTCAAGCCTACCCAGAGTTGCCTTGGAAAAAAGGCCTGGCAATCTATTTAAGATCAGTCACTGAAAACCCTATGGAGCACAGTTCCACTCTGACACACTTGGGGTCCCCATGAGTCAGAATCACCTTGATGGCAACTGGTTTTAAACGACCTCTAAGGCACCTGTAAATTCTAAAACAGGTGACAGTGAGTTGTGTCGTGGAGGAGGGCAGAGCTCACCTGTACCACCCCATTTCTGGCACACCTCACAAGGGCCTATTGAAATAATATACATTAGTAAATGGAGCAGCCTGAAAACAGATGCTCTTTAAACAGAAGGCATTAAAGTGATTTCAGTGTTTAGTTGGTAAACCACCGCCCCTGCTCCTTATCATTTCAGAGCCAGGTTTTGCTCAACAACAAAACATATGTCTCTATCTGCTCATCACCATTCATGCCCTAAAAGCCCAGATGGTAAGAAAGGGCAACCCATAGAGCCACATGCCTCTGGGATCCAGGTCCATCCACATATCAGCCAAGCTCTCGTCCCAAACCTAGAGTCCATGCCATGCCCCCTAGTGTCCCACCACGCTCACCTCTGTAAGACACATCCTTCAGCAGCCTGGCTTCCGACTGCACCACGTTCCTGTTGTTGAGGAAGATGAGCCGTCGGAAGAAGTGCTTGTCATCCCCCTGCACGTCCTCAATGACGTAGTCACCACTCAAGGGGCTGCAGTCTCGGTGCTGAACCGTCCGGATGCCGATGTCCCCACCCACAGATAGAAAGGGCACCTGGAGGTACAGCCAGAGACATGGGATAGGGTCAAAACACCAGCTTCATCAAGAAAGAGCAACTGCAATCCCTTCCTTTTGTATGTATGTAAGGATCGTTGTTGTTAGGTGCCATCGAACTGCTTCTGACTCATGGTGATCCCATGTGACAGAGCAGAATTGCTCCATAGGGTTTTCTAGGCTCTAATCTTTATGGGAGCAGATCACCAGGTCTTTCTCCCATGGAGTCACTGGGTAGGTTTGAACCGCCAACATTTTGGTTAACAGCCAAGCGCTTAACCACTTTCACCACCAGGGCTCCTTCTATGTAAGGGTACAAAGCTTCATCTCAAGGTTCTGGGTACCAACAAAATTCCAAAGATTTGCTATTCTACTGGAGCACTTTTCTGGGGCCCAGGAGTAGATCTCGAAAGGTTTAATTCATCTTTTGAAAATCAACTAAACACACAACCATCAGTGAAATGGAGTTGGTTCTCTCAAAGAAAAATGTTAAAGTGTCTCATCAGTGACCCCAAAAAGGACTCTCAATAGTCCAGAACAATGAAAGCTAGAGGGCACCCTTGGGAAGGAACTGCAATTACAAGACAAGGAATCTGAACAAGGATAAACATAATAAAACCCAGGGGGAGAACCACTTGAAATTTGGAGAAATTTATCTTCCTCCAGTTATTATTTTCTTACCATTTTTTTTTAAACCTTATGAGACAAATGCATTTTGCCCCTAAACTTTTTCACTTTGTCCCCCAGTCTTTCCATCTTTCTTTTTAAAGACTTATAAGAATGTTTAATAATCATCACTAACACCTGACTTTGCAGAGAAGTGGGCACTAGTAAGAGATCACAAATGAACCACCCCACAGGAGCTGGCCTCCCTAAAATAAGTCTCTCTGATGGACACCAACCCCAAAGCCTGCCCAGGAAGAATCAAGCACACATTCTTTTGTAAACCCCAGTCAGTCTAGAAGGCAGACCCACGGGCTAGGAACCTGGGTTCTTTTTTTCAGATCTGTTACAATAGCACCAAGCCTCCAGGTACCTCGGATTTTTCACTTATCAAAAAGGATAAACTCCTTACCATACAGTCATGGCTCTAAGGTCAGCTGTCAGTTATGCACGTGACTGGGATGGCCAACACAGATGGTGTCTACTGATAACACCGTATCACCATTCGGGCAAAAACCTTCAGTTTCCTTCCCAGTAAAACACCAGACCAGCCATGCTAATATCCTGAAAACTGTGCTGAACTGTGTTGGGGCCCTTTCCCATTCTACTCTCAGATAATGATGGTTCTGAGAAGCAAGATGGCGAAGGAAGCCCTGTTCAAAAGCGGGGAAGAAGAAACGCAGGGCCTGGGGAATCCACACTCTTGATGTACTGGAGCCGGCGGCATGTAGGGCACTTCCTTCATGCTCTCTCTAGAGTCGAAAAGGCCCCAGACACAGGTGCTACTATCGTTCTTAATAAGGGCACCTGCTCACCTTCCTCTAAGTGCCTGGGTCAGGCGAAGGTTTTTCTGCCCACTTAGCCCTGAGCTGCTGATACACCCTCCAGAATAAACGGGGGTCACAGACTCTCATCCTTGCTCCTTCCAAGGCCCCCTCTGCCCTCCTGAGTGCTAATACGACTTCTCTGGAGACCCAGGAAAGCCACTGCCAAAGTTCTGTCTTTGTTACCTGCTGTTGGGCGGGCATCCCCACCGGGGCCAGCTCCATGACTCTGGCCGAAAGCTCAGCCTGGATGCTGTCCATGCCTTCGTACTGCTGACCACGGTGAAGGGCCACTGTGACCAGTCTCCTAAAGCCTGCGCTGGCCGCCAGCTGCTTCCGTCCCTCCTCCATGCCGAAGAGCCACTCGGTCTCCCTGCCTTGGGGGACTGGGAAAAGGGACTTGGTGACAGGGAGTCCTGGGAAGAGGGTTCAAGCCCATATCTAATATGTCCCACATGGCAGATAGCCAGCCCCAGTCCAGGACCAACATTTCCTCCAACCATGACCCACAGAGGCCTATCGATTCCCTAGCGCACAAGGCCCAGAGCAAAGAGGCCCATCAGACATGAGGCAGGACCAAGGGGTGCATAAGAAGTGTTAGCATGTATATAAGGGCAGGGAGGCAGGCATCTAGCACAAGAAAAACAGCAAGAATACTATCACTTATTATATGCCAGGTATTAACTGCAAGCAGTTTACAAATATAAACTAATCAAATCCTCACAATAGCCAAGATGCAGGCATTATTACTATTATTCTCATTTTACAAATGATGAAATTGAGACCCAGAAGTTACACTGTTTGCCCAAGTTCACAAAGCTAGTAAGTGGTGAAGCTGGGACTCGAATCCAGGCAGTCTGGCTCCAGAGTCCATGCTCACAGCCACTGCACTATTTGTTCCCACAGGAGGAGCGAGGATTATGGAATCTTGCTTGGAAAAATGGCTCAGCCACCAAAAACCAAATTACCAGCATGACCATATCAACACTTTGCATTTGTTTAGAACTTTCTACCTTTGAAAGCATTTCCTCACATTATCTCTTTCGATCCTTAAGGTGAATCTGGTATCATTTATCTCCTTCAGTAACACTTATAAAGCACTTATCATGTGCCAGGCACTGTTCTAAGAGCTTTCACATTTCTCACAACTCCACACAATAGTTGCTATCATTATTCCCATTTTATAGATGAGGAAATAGAGGCACAGAAAGAAAAGTAACTTGTCCAGTGTCACACTGCCAGGAAGTGACTGTGCCGGGACCGGAACTCAAATGGTCTGTTTGCAGAGCTCACTTTTTTAACTATTACTCTGTACTGCCTCTCTGAAGTCAGCAGAGAAGCACAGTAACTTCCCCAGGTCCTGCAGTTCACAGGTTAGAGAGTTAGGACTAGAACCCGTGTCTTAGGCCAGCTAGTCCAGTGCTGCTTCCATTACTCTATGCTACAAAGTAAGTAACATCTCTATGCAATCCATGATTTGTCTAAATTCCTAGTATTTTTCTCTCCTCCCTACCAACCTCATCTTCACACTTCATCAAGCCTTTGGAATGGAAGATAGGAAGGAATAAACCTCAGGCTAAGCAGTAACTGGAGAGCTACTTCCCCTTCATATGCCTTGGCCCTAGCTACTCTATCTGGGGCCCTGCAAGACACAAACAGCAGAGACACAGCCATCCACCAGAGCCTGAGCCCCAGCCCCGGTAAGCCAGCCCCTCCAGAGAAGAGAGGGAGCAATGCCAACTCACTGATGAAAATGGCAAAATGATTGTCCCTCGATGGTTTCACAGCAGAGCTGTCCACCACGTGGAGGGTGTAGCGCGGCTCCCCTGTATCCCCATTGCACAAGTCCAGAGATACACTCCCCAGCCAAGACTTGCGGCGTAGCTGGCTGCACAGCCAGGCGTACTGCTGCCGTTCCAGCACCGCCTCAGCCAGCCGCTCAGCACTCTCCAGCCGCGTGGGCTTCCCCTGCTCCTGAACACACAGCTCAAAGATCTGCAGGGCAGAGCCAGGGACTGGTCTGAACTTGGTCATGATGAAGGCAAAGACAGGTAGGGAGAACTGATGCTCTGCTTCCAACACCTGGTCCTGGCTGTTGGTCACCTGATGCACCCTCACCATCCACCCCTCCCGGGAGAAGTGACCCACTGCTTTCTTCAGGATGTGAGCCTGTGCCAGGGAAATGCAGAGGTAGCGACCGCCCACCTGCAGGACACGGCCAACCTCAGCCAGCATCCTGTCCACCTGCTGCAGGGTCTTCTCCTCCTCATCTGTCAGGACAGCGTCCAGGGTGCCCTTGTCCAACACCACCTGGAATGAGGCATCGGGAAACTGCATCTGCATTATGTCCATCTTCAAGAAGCTCATCTGGGGCCGTCGGCTGGCATTGTGTTCCTTCATTTGCTTGATGACGACCTCACTGATGTCAATGTTCACTATATTCTGATAGCCCACGTCGTACAGCCGCTCACTCAGTTCTGAGTTGCCGCACCCGATCACTAGCACCTAGGGGAAAAGCATGGACAAGAAGGAGATGGTGATCAAAGCAAGGGAATGTGCTTCAGATGCTTCAAGGGATCTAGTCTTGCCTTGGCTGCTGCATGTTTTCAGAAGGTGGAGATGCTATTGTCAGGAGAGAACAGCATTCCAGAGTTGATTCTAGGCTCCATCCTGAAGCATCACCGGTTAGAGGAACTCACTAGTGAAAACCACGTTCAGCTACAATACAGACTATGTGAGAATGGGCTTTCTATGTTGCAGAAACAAACTAATCACGGGTGTTCTTTTCTTGGAAACAAGCAATTATTATTCAAGAACTGATAGGAAATCATAGGCTCCAAATATAGCAGTTACAATTGAAATCCCCTGCTATTTATTTTACTGTTGAAAGCCTACGCCTGGTGTAACCCTATTTCCTGAATTCACTCATGTCTTCAGCTCCACCAGACAATAAACTGTGTTTTGTGAAGATTAAAATCTTATTCCCATCGCAGGTTCCACCTCATGATATGCAGCTATTTTCTGAAGCCAAACTTAAAACACTGTTGTGCCTCTTTGTGAAGTAATCTCAGTCTTCAAAACTCGACTCAGATGTCACCATCTCTGGAAAAGCATGGCACAATGAGAAGTACATAAATTTTGGAGCCAGACAGGCCTGAGTTCAACTCCTCACGTGAGCACTTACTACACATACCTTATTCTGGGCAAAAAAATTGGCTCTCTGAGTCTCAGTTCCCTCATTTGTAAAATGTATTGACCACCACTCCTCATAGTTATGAGAATCAACGATCACACACACATATACATACATACACACCCCACCCCACACTAGGCTTGGCTCCCTCCACAAACTTAGGTTTTTCTACTTTTCTTCCTCTCCGCCTCTGTACAACCCCATCGGCTACCAAACCTCCTATGGTTGTACTTAACTACTTTTCACATTTTATCACCATCTCTAGTTCTGCAAGGCGCTCAGGGTTTACGTTTTAATGCTCTCATTGCCCAAAGGCTATGCACAGTTCTGAATATGGAACTCAGGGAGCACTCAACAACTATCTGATAAACAGTTACTTATCAGTGAAACCAGGCGTGCTGCCTACTCCACAGGGATGCGCAGTGGCAGAGGAGCCCAGGGGTCGCACTCAGAGAAGCTACACTTTCAGCAGGAGCTACCCAGATTGGGCTACTAAAGAAATCATTCTTCCACTGAGGTTATTAATTCAAAGATGAGTTGGAAGTGGGGGGAATTCTGTTATCTGAACACCTGAAAAACCTTTAAGGGGATATTTTAAAATTGCCTTTTGCCGGAACTGTGCATTAGAATCGTGAAAACATGGGCTCAAGCAGGGCTCTACACCTGTCACTCTCTACCAAGTGCAGGATTACTGTTGCTAGTTCCCACCTAGGAGCCCTGGTGGTAGCAGTCAAGCGCTCGGTAGCTAACCGAAAAGGTCGGTGGTTCGAACCCACCAGCCGCTCCAAGGCAGAAGGACGTAGCAGGTCTGCTTCCGGAAAGATTTACAGCCTTGGGAACCCTATGGGGCCAGTTCTACTCCACGCTATTAGGATCGCTAGGAGTCAGAATCGACTGGACGGCAACGTGTTTGGTTTTGGCGTTTAGTTCCCACCTTCCCGAGCACACACAGAGCTATCAAGCCGCGCTCCTTACCTTTTCTCTGGGCTTGATATATTTGTGTAGCACCCCGCACAGTTCCAGGTAGGTTCCATACCACTCGAAAGCTTTCTTTCCTCGAAGCTGGAAGAACTTCTCCCAATAGTCAACGGAGCCAAATTCCTTGGAGCTTTTAGGTAAGAGATTCATGTTCCCACTGCCTCAGCTGCGTCTTTAAGACCCTCCTACTCCCTCTGGGGTGCAGTCTGAGGGGCTCATCCACACGCAGGTTCCGGTACACTGCAGCGGAAATTCTTTCCACAGGCAAACAACTACATTGATTTTTCCCCCACTCAAAATCCAAAGGGTTACACCTTTACGAATCAAGCGCACGCGCGCGAAACACTACACTCAAAACACACTCATCCACTCCTAGCGCCCGCAAACCCCAGCCCACGTGGTGAGCCCCTCGCACTTTCTCACAGATTGATTTTAGAACCCAGCAACCACATCCGGGTTCGAGGATTCCCGATTGGTCGGCGGCCCAGAGCGTTCCAGCAACTCATTCGTCACCAGATTTCGCTCCTGGAACCCCATTGGTTGAGACTCGTGAGCCTCCCGCCCTAGCCTTGTCGCAGGCTCGGAGCATTTTATTGACGTAGCGGGGCGGGATCGCGGGAACACGGGGCGGAGTCAGGGCGGAAGTGGCCTGGTTGTTCTGATCTAAGGCTCGCCTCTTCCTGTTTCTGGGTTCTTCGGGTTTTGCGGAGAACGTGCGGGCTTGTCGGGATCTGATTTTGTTTTGTCTCGGAGCTGGCCTTGTCCCTGGTTCTAGAATCCTAGTTTGAGCCGAAGGCGGTCGGCGGGGGACGCAGTGGAGGAGGGGCCGAGAAGAAAAATTTGTAGTTGAGGAGTGGGTCAAGGGATACGCAGAGCCAGTTTGTAGTAAAAGAGAACTGCCAATCTCAGCCCTATTGTCATCTCCATCTATTGTCCTCAATTTAGCCACTTTGCGTGTATAATTCAGGTTTAATTTGGAGGAAAATGGCCCTTGGCTGTAAATTTTCTGCACCAAAATACAGGGTTTACGATCGATAGTGTGAGAACATGAAAATCCCGAGTGAAAAGTGACCACTAGGTACTCAAAGGTGCCTCATCTCCCTTTTCCTTCTCCCTCAAAGCATAGTATGCAAAATTTCAGACTTTAATTTTGATACTCTGCCCTCTTAGGTTGTCATTCTGATGTCATCTGTAAGTAGTTGCTACTACTTGATATTTTGTGTTTAATGAACACACTGTACTTTCAGATGCTTATCTGTGCTAATCCCCTGAGGAGATTCCTGTGAAGGACACAATTTTTGAAAGACTAAAATATGTGCAGCATTGGGCCTTTCGGAGCATGATAAATAGCAGTAGGAATACACAGACTGAGGAGGGTAGAGAGGTGGAATTGAACAGCTTTAGGCTATTTTAGACTTCACTAGCATAGAAATTAGATGGGTAGATGGATAGCCAGATAGTTTAAATAGGTTAAAGTGGACTTAAACTTCGGTTTAAAAGAGTAGTTCTTAATTTTGACATGTGTCAGAATCACCTGGAGGACTTTCTAAAACACAGATCCCTCCTGTCCCCAGAGTTTCTGATTCAGCAGGTCAAGGGTAGTGACCCAGGGTTTGCATTTCTGACAAGTTCCCAGGTGATGTTGGTGCTGCTGGTCCAGAGACCACACTTTGAAAATCACTACTTTAAAATATAATTAAGGGATAAATCAAAATTATATGATTCCAACTCCATAATTTTAAAAGGTTAATCTAAAAGCCTTCTACAAATAAGTTAAAAAAAAAAAAAAAAAAAAAAAAAAAAGCTACATGCATCCTTTGCTGCGTTCACACTGTTTTCTCTAAGCCAGATAAGGGGAGCTAGAAGAAGCCTCTGAGATGGCTTCGGCTACTACATTTGAGTACTAATGGGTAAGAGGTGGGTACTTTCAGAAAGCACTTGAGAGCCCAGTTGAAGTGCTACACAATATGAAAGAAGCAGAAAAACACAGATTCTGCCCCTTCCATCTCAAGGATTTATTCAATTCAACAAACATTTAAATTGCCTAATATGAACCAATCACTGTGCTAGAAACCAGGGCTACAGCCAATCACTGTGCTAGAAGCTACAGGCAATCATATGGAAGTCACACATTAAACAATTAAAAAATAATTTTGCAAATGCAAGTTTGATGAGTGCTGTGAAGGAGAAGTACAAGATACCATGACAGCTGATACCCAAGAGATCCATCCTCATCTGCAGGGTGGCCAGAGAAGACTTCCCGGAGGAAGGGACAGAAAGATTTGTAATCTGAAACATGCTGACCCACCAGAGGCCTCTACAAACACCTTTAGTGTCCTTTTTCTCTGTCTCCATTGTGCTTCCTGTTAAGGGCATGAAACTGGAAAAGGCAATAGAAGCAAACTGTATCACAGCCAGATTCCAGCCCCTTATTTAATTCCTTATGAATGAAATTATTGTTTGTACTATGTCTCAGACGAAGAGGGTGAGTAACCTATCTATTGCCATTTGTGCCTGCCTGCCTGCCTCCCTTCTGTGAGCCTCAGAAAACAGTAACAACCAGAGCACTTTAAGCTAAAACATGCCAGAGATTTTCTAAAATTATAAAAAATAATCAGAAATATTTTAGATATATTCTAATGCCAGAATTCGGCACTAGTCTATTTAAATACTTGTAATTTATTTCTCTCAAAGTTTAACTATAAAATATGATAGGTGTATGTTATCATTAGTTAATTTAAGCTTATTGAGCAGTTAAATGTTAAAATGCATTATGTTTTATGAGACTCCCCAGAATGGTTACCAGTATGATTTAAAATTCAAACTGAGTTTAGATAAAACCATTCAATATTATAATTTTTCCTAAAAATATAAACCCAGAATTCTGGATATATAATTTGCAGTTAGTCTTTCTTAATTGAAACATACTCATAAAGGTTTTGGCAACAATATTCAATTGTTGCTAAAAATAATTGCACATTAAGGAATAGATAATTAAAAAAGCATTTCTGACAGTTTCGGGCAGAGAATAGGAGAGAGCATATGGTAGCCAAAATAATGGTTCCCCAAAAATGTTCATGCCTTAATCCCCAGAACCTGTGAATATGTTCATTGCAAAGGGGAATTAAAGTTGCAGGTAGAGTTAAGGTTACTATTCAGCTGACCTTAAACAGGGAAGATTATCCTGGATTATCCAAGGCGGCCCAATGTAATCACAAGGGTCCTTAAAAATGGAAGAGGGAGGCAGAAGAGGGAGAACCATAGAGGTGGAAGAGTGAGAAGGATTCCACCTGATGTTTCCATCTTCGAATCTGGAAGAAGGGGGCCATGAGCCAAGGAGAGCTGGAGCCCTCTAGAATGTGGAAAAGAGAAGGAAATGAATTCTCCCCTACAGCCTCCAGAAAGGAACACAGCCCTGACAACACCTTGATTTTAGCCTGATGAGACCCATTTTGGATATCTAACCTCCAGAACCGTAAGAAAATAAATTTGTATTATTAAGCCACTAAATTTGTAGTAATTTGTTGTAGCAGCAATAGTTGACCTGCCCATCCCCCACCTCCTGCCAAATTGTCAAAACGTAACACAGAGCAAAGGCGTAAGAGGGAGAAAGTTTAAGTGTGGTTGGGATGGAGGGTTTGCGGTGGGAGGACAGTAGCAGAAACTGAGGTGAAGGTCAGGTTTTGAGGCATTTTATTCCTAGCATTTAAATTAAATCTTTCAGGCCACAGGAAGCCAGTGGAGGACCAGGGTTGTGGCAGTTGGAAAGAGCAAATAATGAGAGATGTTCTTAGAAGAAACTAAAAAATGCTCAAGACTGGTTGATGACAGGGAATAAAAGTGTGAGTGAATCAAAATGGCTTCCACATTGGCCTCTGGATGACTGGGAGAACAGTCTATAGAAAGAAAAAGGGAAAGTGAAAGAGGTGTCCTTTATAGAACTGTTGCTTGAAAGGAATTCTGAGATCATCACGCTAGTAACAAACCAGAGCTAAGAGCCGGTCTCCCCAACCCCATGCCTATCCCAGGGCTGCTGACTGCCTCACATTTTACTATTGATATCCAATTAGAATCTGTCATCCAAGACATAAAAATGCTTCATGAGTAGTAGAATATAAAATTGGTTAAAGGAATGTCTCCTTGGTGTACAGGGAGTGGCTCATATAATGCTGGAAACTATTTCATTCTGGAAGTCGTCTTTGCAAAAGTGTTTTTCTTTGCAGAAGTGTTTTCTGGGAAGTCAGAAATGAATGGTCCGTGTCTTGGAATAACAGCAGGCAGGCACAACGTACTAGAATAATTTTGTAACCATTTTATTAGCTGGGGATCAACATTTTCTTGAAGATATTGTTGACCTGAGAAGTAATTTGCAAGCTAATGTTGAATTCCTACGACTGGGATAATCATAACCATTAAGGTATTCTTTATGGTTGATTTAATGGACAGTCAGGAATTTGGCCACTAATTCATGAAACAAAGTAAATATATCTTTATGTATAATTTTTTTGCTTCATATTTTGTCTAGATGGATGGAATTATGTTTTGATGGTTTTGCTATGAACTATTTGAGGGATTGCAATATGTTACTGTCCGCTAATTACCAAATTTTGATGAATCGGATATACTTTGGTTAATGTTTTGCTGAATCCAATATATCACTATATTGATAAAGGTTAATTATAGACATAAGGGCATCTGATCTTTGAAATCATCATGAAGATTGTTATTAAGTGTTATGTGAAACCACGTTTGTTTATCTCGACAGATTTAATTGCCAGCAAAGAAAGCAACTAAAAGTAGCTGCAGAGTAAGAGGCCAACCTTCATTAAATGTGGTTTAAAGATTGTTACAGAACTTGTAGTGATGATAACATGGTGTCTTGGAGGATGTTAACAACTGTAGCAGAGTGTTAATTAAGAATGATGTAATCTCCAGCTTAGAATTATTAGTATCATATGTTAGTTTAGCTGGACAGAAGCAAAAACCTAGTTTCAGTTATGATGAGCTCAAGTCACATTAATAGTAGAAAGATTAACATTTTATTTTTATGCTGCTCCTGAGACAATTTTAAAATCCTGAATGAAATACAGTCAAATGTAAACATCAAGACCCTAGCTCATTTACATATGTGCCAGATTTTCAAACTGATTGCTGTTTGAACCTAATCT